ATAAAAATGCATCTTTTATTGTATTGAAAATATTATAAAGACATAAACCAGTGGACAATACCTTTGTAAGATGAGTTAGCTCATCTGCATTTATCCATATTTGTCATCTTACAAAGTTCAAGGTTATTCAGAACTAGACTACTTTCTTTTGTGATTTTTTAAAAATTATATTTCAAGAACCTATGCATTTTAAGAGAATGTCTCACTCCAACATGAAGTACAGTAAATTATTTGACACGGAAACTCAACAAACTCTGTTCTGACCCAATGGTCAGGAGTTAATTGGTATTCAAAATTTTAAAACTTGATCATCTACCAAGAAAAATAATCATCACTTTGCTCCTCATCTTGAGTAGGGAACATGATGTTTAATGCTTATTTCAATTAATTATTCTCAACATCTTTAGTCTCTGCTCATAACCAGAAAAAATGTAATTATTCATTTTCTAAAAGTGCAATAGACTGGCACTGTCACTGTGATTTTATGCCAATTAGTTTAAAACCTCCTTAAACTTTAACATTAACCTTGTTATTTCTCTTCAAGCTAAGTCAAAATCCACTTCTTTGTTTTTATTTAGGAATAATTTATTAAATTTAGTAAAGGAAAATATGAAGATATTAATAAGGGTCAAGTCAATGTGCTTTCTGTCCCAAAATTGACAAATTCATTAAAGAAAAGAACTCTGAAGCTCATTTTAATTTTCAATGCTTATTCTTTGCCTTCAGAGCTCTTAACTTACTTTAACAAGTGCACATTTTATCAGGCATTTATGTTTTATTTTGGCAGAAGTGCTGCTTTTTCATTAGTTAGTCCATCCCACTACTAATAAATGCTAATCAGAAGAAGTTTGGCTTTTACAACTATTTGGATGGAAAAATACAGGATATTCATAATAAGAGAATAAGGTTATTATTTTCTAAAGTCTGTCCTTCTTATAGACACTAGGATATTCCAGGTAAGAGGTGATAATGATTTCAAGTAGAAGTGAGAAACAAGGGAAAAATATATGGTTTTACACTTTCTAACTGACATACAGCACGTTATGATCATGAAATACACATTACTCTGCACATATTTTTTTTTCACATTGCCATACTGGAATTTAACCAAATAACAGAAAATAAATCTATTCGTTTATTGCTTTTTATACCATGTGTTATGGATTAGATACAGAATATCTCCCAAAACTCTAATGTGATTTTAAGAGGGGCTTTTAGAAGGTAAGTGGATCATGGGGAGTTTTACTCATTAGTGGTTAATACCATTTATGGATTCATAGGAGAATGTGCTGTAAGGAGACTCGGGCTGGTCTGAAGAGGCAGTTCAGATGGTTTATAAAATGAATTGATGACTATATAGTTCTCCCAAATCTAAAGTGAATGGAGTTAGAAACCACGTTCAACGTGTAAGTGAAATTATTTGTTTGTGTGTTTTGTAGTTAGTCCTTTAAAATTATTGATAAAATTCATCTAGTATCATAGGTTTATTCTATTGACTTATTACCTTGTTATTGGATATGATATTAATAAGATTAGTATGGATATCTGTCAAGCTGGTATTGATGAGTTTTAGTCTCTCTCTCTCTCTAGTTTTGTTTTTTCAAGAAACAATTTTAAACATTGTTGATTTTCCCCCAATAAGTCCTTAATTTTAATTTTCTTTGATTTCTCCCCTATTTATTTTTTTGTTTTTTTGTTTTTCTGTCTGCTTTGGTATAAATTCACAGTTCTTCAAGTCTTTTTTGGGGGGGTTACTAAGGATCGAACTTGGGTCCTTGGGCTTGCGAGGCAGGCAGCAGAACCTCTGAGATAAAACCCTGGCCCTACTCTTCTTCAGGTCTTACATATTAAAATTTTACATCTTAGGGCTGGAGATTTAGCTCAGTGGTTCCGCTGCCTGCCTCCCAAGCACAAGGACCAGAGTTCGATCCCCGGTACCAAAAAAAAAAAAGAGAGTTTACATCTTAAGATATTTCTCCTGCCCATGCCCTGGCCACTGAGAGACCTGCAGGGCTGCTAAAGGCACCTGGGATCAGAGAGGCCATTGCTATGAGCTCAGGACGATGGTGTAGCGGTGAAAGGCAGAGAGAGAGCCCTCTAAGACTTGTTGAAAACTGAAGCCTACTGAGAAAGCAAAGAGGCAGCAGACTACAGTGGCTTGTGGATTTTTAGGACCAGCACCTCCTACTGAACCCAGACTTGCTGTGGGGAAGGGCAGCTCAAACTTGCAGTATAATCATGCAGAGTTCCAACCAGAAAGAGATCACAGAGCTCAATTCTCCCTCACAGCCAGAAACCATCCTGAATCTCAGCGGACTGTGGCTGGTTCCCTGAGATTAACTCTGACTGGGTTCTGAAGGAGGGTCACAACTCCATGAGGCTCAACACAATGAATCTATCAGGCAAGGCAAGAAATTAAGTGCAAAAAATGTGGTAACTAAATTCATTGTATTTGGGAGTGCTAACATTTTTCCTCTAAAATATGTATCTCAGAAGCAATGGCAAAATAAAACAATTTTGTATTTCATTATGTCAAAATTTTCAAGTATATTTAGAATAAATTAGTAAAATCAAATGTGTAAGGAGAAAAGGAACATATGAGGAGAAATATTTAAAACATATGCCATAAATAGGTGAGTTCTCTGGATCAACGAGAGGAGTAATCCCAATTTAAAAGTGAATAATACACAAATGACAGAAGTAGGTACAAACTGTTAAAGAGTAGACCTTGCCACACTGCTAAGAAGTAACCAACAGCAAGTCCATAACAAACTGGTTTGCTTGCAATCAAACTCTCCAGCTTTGCCAAGTTGTAGCATTTGTGTCCTCCCTTCCCGTAGCTCAACTGAACTAGCAAATTAAAACACGGCTCATATTTAACATTTTTAATAATTAAATGATCAGTTTTATAAGGAAAAGGATCCATATAAAGTCATCTGAAATTTATATATTTTAATAATTAGCAAAGGAAATAAAAAGGAAATGTATGAAATTATTTGTTTTTTTTCCATTTCTCTAAGCTCACGCTTTGTGTGCTTCTTTAAACTGATGCATAAATATACAATTTCAATAACATTAATATTATAAATTTTACTTAACTGCTCCTTTCACAATAACCAGCCAATGTCTATTTTTGTAGTTTTATTATTTTAAAATTCAAAATATTTTATTTCACTTGAGAAAACATTTTAATCATTAAAATATGTAAATATGTAAATATGTAAATGACTGCCTTTTAGTTCTATAATATTGGGGAATTTCTTGGCTATCATGCCACTATTTGATTTTTGTTTAATTCCACTCTGGTATAAGATGTATCGTGTAAGGTTTCTATTTGATCAATGTATTTAGAGTATAATTCATATCACAGTACGTGGTCTATGTTGGTGCATATTTTGTTTTGTGGGAGCTTGAGAAGAACGTGTATTGTATTATTGATCTATAAATGTAAATTAGATGAAAATGTTATTCATGTCAAACATACTCACATTGATTTTCTTTCTGCTTAATCACTCTGTTGCATAAATTGGGATAGCAAAGTGTTCAACTACAGTGGTGGATTTATCCTAGCGGTTCTATTAGTATCTTCAGGTATTTATTTATTGTGTTGTTTAATGAATAAAGTTTTCGATTACTTTATTCTACAAAACCAGAATTGATTTTTAATTATGTGTCAACCTTCTTTATCTCTAAGGATATTTCTGTCATTTGAAGTCTGCTCTCTATAATTAGTACATCTACTTCAGTTTATTTTTTATTTGTTCATTTTTATTAGTATATGTTTGTAGTACATGCTGTTTAACTCCTGGTGTAGCCATGGGATATATAAATGATACATTTTAATTCCTTTTTCATCCCATGTGCCCTTCGCTCCACTCCAGCCTCCATCTCTTGACCTTCTGCCCATTTGAGAAAGATCTACCTCCCTATTTCCTGTTATCTATCTTTTCTTTGCCCTTTATTTATGCTTTCAGTTTCCCACATTAAAGATATCATGCAATATTTAAGCTTTTTTGGGTCTGATTTATTTCACTTAACATTATGGTGTAAAGATGCATCCATTTTACCACAAATGGCTCAAGTGTCTATTTTCTGATTTATAGAATTTAGTTGTATTAACTAGAATATTATAGTATTCAATTTTTTGCATATTTTAAAGAAAAATTACACACCTCTTAAATTACTGCTAAATATTAAATTCTGCTCTTCCACCACTAATTCTCAAAGTAAGAAGGTGGTCCAGTAATCATTAATATTAGCAGTTATTGATTGTGGTAGCAAATTAGTTTTTTTTTTTTTCAATTTTGAACATTGAAATGGTCTTACAGATACTTAATACATTAGCATATTGCATGTTATACCCCTCTTTATTTGGATTAATGACTTACTTATAATCTACTCAGTTCGTCATATATTCCACGTCTTATAGACACCATACAATTGAGTATGCTTTTATTGTTTTCCACTTTGATAATCTTTTTAATTAGTTTCATTATAGCACATTTCAAGTGACTATTGCTACATTTGGATTTCTGTTTAATATTTATTTTCTAAACACTGAATTACTTGCTCTTTCCATTTTAATTTTTTCTTCCTTCATAATCTTTTTTGTGTAGAACACTTAGATCATTATTATTTAGGCTGTAAACCTACAGGTATATTTTCACATAAATATCTAAGAAGCAAAGCAATATTTATGTCCTCTCTTATGTAACCAAAGCATTTTTTTAATTCTCAGTATGAGTTCTTGTTTGATTCACAAATTATTTATAACTGCATTTCCAAATACCAAAGCAGTTTAGGGTTTTCCAATTATCCTTTTGGAACTTGATATGATTTCAGTCCTTTAAATTGTATTTCTATCTCTAATGTGTCCTAATTTATTGTCATACTAAAGTTTTATTATATTTTGTGTCTACTTTTTTTTTTTTTTTTTGAAACAGGGTCTCACTATGTAGTTGAGTCTGAGCAGGGACTCACTATGTAGCCCAGGCTGGTCAAAAACTCACAGTGATCCTCCTGCTTCAGCCTCACAAGTGCTGGGATTACGGACATGTGCCACCAAGACTGGATCTACCTTTAATTAGTAGGTTATATTTTTTCCTCTCATTGAGTTTATTGGTACATTTTAGGTAAACAATACAGTTACATTCATCTTTGGGATATTGTTCCTTTACATGACGGGTCTTGGTTCTCATTTTTTCCCCTTGTCCCTGCCCTCCCTTCACTCAGTATGTTATTTTTAAATACTATGCCATTTAGATATTTTGAATTATATGTAATTTCATTACTTTTTACATATATATAGCAAACAATTTCTGATATTATGATAATTGACTTTAGTAGTTATCTTCTGGTAGATTTTATATTCTAGTATTTATTATGTAGTATAAATAAAATTAAATTGTGATTATTTACAGAATATTTAAATTTTTATTATGAAATATCACCTTTTTCCTGCAATATATTCTTCCCTTAAAACTGTTTTATCTAATATTATAGGTAATTCAGTTTTAGTTTGGTTATTTTTTTTTTTTTTGAGACAGGGTCTCACTAAGTAGTTCAGACTGACCTGGAACTCACTATGTAGCCCAGGCTGGTCTTGAACTCACAGCCTCCTGAATGCTGGGATTACAGGCATGCACTACCATGCCTAGCTGGTTATTATTTTCTTGGTCTAATTTTTACTTTTAACTCTAAGAGCTCCTAGAGTCAGAGTGTCTATCTTTTTAGTACCTTATATTTTTTACATACAACTTCAGTGTTTTCTGGCTTAAATAGGATACTTGGGGCACATTTTTAAATGTTTTTTGTCCCAATTGTATACTTTGCATTAAATTTAGATCTTATATAGTTTGTATGAACTTATAGTTTATTTCAAACTTATGGAAATATTCTGAATGTTTCCTGTATGAATCTTAACCTCTTTTTCATATTAATTTATCATTTAGATGTAATGAATAGATTTTTTATTGCCTTATTATACATTATTTTGGTTTTCTGAATAGAAGGTGCACTTTCCACTATGTATTATTATTTTATAGTTTCTTCTTTAAAGCAGGAAACAGAATTTTCCCATGTATACAGTTTGTCTTACTCTGTTATTGTTGCCATTTTTCTTGTATAATATTATTAATGTTTATTATTTCAATCAGATTTCATTAATATTTTGCCTGAACAATGCTGCTTAAGTTGAATAATTATTATATTATAATATTACTATTAATTATTTAAGTAATGATTTACCAAATTAATTACATCATTCATATGTTGAAGTTCCATCAGTAACATGTATATGAACTTGGCTTTATTTTACTTTGTTAAATATTTAGATATAATCCACATACTTTAAAGTTCACCAAAAGAGTGTAAAGTTCACATTTTAACATGAATCAGTATATCATTTTTTAACAGCTGAAAAATATTCCATTATGTAATTATACTGCCTTTTATCTTTGTTTTAAAAATTGAGAAACTATAGACACTCCTGGTGTATAGACTTTTATATCATATTTTATGTGGATATATGTTTTCATTTATCTTTTTATATACCTAGGAAAAAACTTGCTGGATCACCTAGTAAGTCTACTGATCTTTGGATAAATAGACAAGTTTTGCAAAAGTATCCATATATTTTATATTGTCACCAGAAACACCAGAGTTCCAATTTCTGAACATCCCCATGAACACTTCCTATTGATTAAGCAGGTCAACACTTACTATCGGCTTCATAATTATAGCCATTCTATTAGTTTTGAAGTAGTCTCGTTTGGTTTTGAATTGCATATTTGTAGTAAGTAGTGCATTTAAGCATCTTTTTCATGTATTACTCATTTGTTCAATTTCATTATGGAAATGTCTGGATACTTTATAAATTGGATCATTTGTGTTTAAATTTTTATTTTAAATAACTTTACACTTCACAGTTATAAATTCATAATTAAATACTTGATTTGCAAGAGTAGTTTAAATATTCTGGTTATAAGTTCCTTAGCATAGGTGTATAATTTTCTAATTTTTCTCCCTTTGAATATTTTTCTTTAACTTTTTATTAATAATAATGTTTATAGAATTTAAAAAATTGATACTAAAGCTTAATAGAAGACCACAGGTGTTTAATCTTATGCTTTTACTAAATGTTTTGTATTTCTATCACTTATATTGAAGACTCTGATACATTTTAAATTATTTTATACTATATAAAAGGTCTTAATCCTTTTCATGTGAATATTTGGTTTCTTAGCACTATTTTTTGAAAAATAATTTTCTCATTGAATTTGTTAGGTCCAATATTTGAAAGGCCAAGTTTCAACTTTAGATCCCTCTGCCTCAACCCTCTGAAAATAGAGATCTTCATTACAATACTCAGAAAAATTTATTTCAAGTACTTTTTTTTCTTTTTGGTGTTACTGTGATTTAAATTACTTTTCTTCATTCATTTCATTTTCAAACTATTAGTAGGTGGTGTATATACAATTAAATTCTTATATTACAGCCCTCAAACTTGCTGATTTTATAACCTGGTATCTCATATGGTTGTGTGCCTGTGTATGTGTCTGTTCCTTGGAAATTTTTTAGACACATAGTCATGCTGTTTGTGAATATATATTTTATAGTTTTTCAATCAGCACATGTTTTATTTTTTCTTCCTTTGGTAATTTCTCCTGCTATAATCTCCTGTAGAATGTTGATTAAGGTGCCAAAAGTAGATCCTCTTGTCTTATTCCATAGCTTATGAAAACAGTATTTTTCACTCATATAATAACTGGAAGTTTTTTTTTGTTTTTATTTGCTGGTTTGCTCTTACAGATAGCCACTGATAGGTTGAAAGTTCCTATTCCTACTGTGTTGAAAAATTATCATGAATGGATAGTGAATTTTGTTAAATATCTTTTCTGTTTTTTTGTTGTTTTTTTTTTTGGTGGTACTGGGGATCGAACTCGGGTCCTTGCACTTGCGAGGCATTTTCTGTTTTAAATAGTATAATTTTTAGTCTTTATTTATATGAGATAGTTCACTTAGGGATTAACATATTCTAAATAAATCTTGAATTCCTGGGATAAATCTTTATGGATTGTTAAATACAATCCCTTCAATATGTAGCTTATTTTTTCCTGCTAGTATTTTCTTAGAATATTTCTGTGTAAATTTATAGGGGACATCATCTATGGATTCACTTCCTTTCGACAAGGATGGAAGTTAGAATGAAATAGAGTCCATGAAGAATGTAATAAAAATTGAGAAACTAGAGTCATTCATAGGAAAATGGATGCATATTGAGGATATACTCTTAAATGAAATAAATAAGGCACATGTGTAACTACGGAATAGTTTCTCTGGTATAAAAAACTAAACGTGTAAATATGATCAAAATTGTATAATTGACAACGTGAAATAGGACAAAAAGGGCTAAAGGTGTATGGGAAGTGGAAAGTGTAAGGAAAAGGAAATAAGAGAAAAGAAAAAAATATGAGAAAAGAAAAAATGGAAACAAAGCTTTGTAAATAGGGGAGGAGAGGGGAGGGGTAAAGGGAGGGAAGAGGTAAGGGGAAAAAATGAGAACCAAGATCTGCCATGTGAAGGTACAAGATCCCAGTGATAAATATAACTGTACTGTATACATAAAAAGTACCAATTGCCGGGTGTGGTGGTGCAAGCCTGCAATCCCAATACTCGAGAGACTCAGGCAGGAGGATAGCTGTGAGTTCGAGACCAGCTTGGGCTACAAAGTTAGCTCCAGGTCAGTCTCAGCTACATAGTGAGACCCTGTCTCAAAAAACAAACAAACAAACAACAACAACAACAACAACAAAAGACATAAAAAGCACCAATAAACTCAATTAAAAAAAAACAGAATCCTGTGTTCTTTGCCACACATGCTTGCAGTAGAACCATTCTGAGAGGCTGTGTGTGTGTGTGTGTGTGTGTGTGTGTGTGTGTGTGTGTGTGTTAGCTCAAAAGCCAGAATTTCAACTTACTTATTGAGATACATTAGATATTGTTGGAAAGATATTTTTCCATTTGCTGCAAAGCATTAGAAACACTGAAGATTTTTTTCTATAATCTTCAGAATTTACATAGTTGATTCACCAAGGAGTAGTCCTTCCTAATATATTACTCATTCATATTAATTTTATTATTTTTTTCATTTTATTTATAACGTTTGTAATAGGTATAGAAAGATATAATTTTTCTGTCATCTAAAGTTCATCCTGTTTTCTTGTAGGAGCAAGTGTGCATCTTTTGGTCTTTTCAAGGTATGTATGCTATTTTGTAGCTATTTAAAATGATTTTATTTCAAAATATTAACTATACATAGAAAGAGATTTCACTGTGATATTTCCATGTATGCATAAAGAATGCACTGATCAAATTCAATCTCACTTTTTCATTCCATTATGCTCCTCTCTTATTTTTACCAAATCTAATGATGAGTGATGTACTAAAAGTCAGCTTGGTTTGCTTCTACTTATGAGAGTGTTGAGCTCCAATGTCAGTGTGTGAAATTATTTCACTTAACACAATGTCCCTCAGTTTCATCTATTTTACTACAAATCATAGCATTTCATTATTTATGACTGAATAATATGCTATTGTGTTTATTTACATATTTTCTGCATCCAATAAACTTTTGGTGGGCACCTTGCCTGATTTCTTATCAGAATTATAGTGAACAATATCAATATATATGAGTTTTCAGTATCTCTAATACACTGACTTTATTTCCATTGGATAAATACCTAGGAGCATGAAGGCTAGATTATTTAGTGGCTATATTTTTGCCGTTCAATACTTTCTTCATCGTAGCTATACTTACCTGCATGCTCACCAACAGTGTATAACAGTTACTTTTCCTTCACATTTTTTGCTTGAACGTTTTATTTCTTGTGTTATTCACAATAACTATTAGGTAAGATTTTGCATTTTGGTTTGGATTTGCACTTCTGTAAGGACAAATTATGTGAAGGATTTTTTATATATTTCCTGATTTATATTTATTCTTTTGAGAACCATTTAGATAACTTGTCTATTTTTAGAAGAATGATTTTTATGAGAATTTTTAGAATTTTTATATATTCTGGCAATTAAGCCTGTATGAAATGAATAGCTACAAATATGTGCTCTGATTTTTGAAAATTAATTTTACTGGTTCAATGACACACATAAATGGGAATTGCACCTTTATGTAATCTAACTCGGTTCTTATTTTTCCCATTCTTTCTCTCTCCCTCCCTCCAACCCCTCCTATTTACAAAGACTTTGTTTCCATTCTTTTCATTCTCTCATATTCATTCCATTCCCTTCTTTCCTTTCCCCTACACCTCTCAATTCCCTTTCCCCTTTGACACTTTTCTTCCTATTTCACATCATCTATTATAATATTTAGTCCTTATTTACACTTCCAATTTCTGTTACCACAGAAACTAGTCGGTATTTACACATGTACGTCCTATTTATTTGACTTAACAATATTGCCTTAATGTGCACATTTAACTATAAATGCCTTGAATTTTTCATTCTTCATGGCTTAGTAGTACTCTGTTGTACTTTTTTATAAAACCACAATTTCCAATTGTTGGTCATTTGGACTGTTTCCATGTTTCAGGTATTAAAAACTGTGCTGCTGTAAACATGTGTTCTGTGGTATAACACTTTTAGTTCTTTGGGGAAGATAACCAGTGGGGGAAGAGCTAGATCAAATAGTACCTCCTGTCCTAGTTCTTTGAGGTATCTCAGTACTGGTTTCCGCAGTGGATGCACCAGTCTACACTTCCACCAGCAGTGAAGAAGTGATACTTAAAAAAAAAAACCACCAGCATTTGTTATTGGTTGATTTATTGATAGCAGCCATTCTTTCTGCGGTGATGTGGAAACTCACTGTTGTTTTCATTTGCATCTCTCAAGTGAACAGTGATGTTCAATGTTTTGTCCTATGTTTATTTGCTCTTCTTTTCAGATGCCCATTTTTGGATTGAGTCTTAAAATTTGGATGTCTGAATTTTTTCCTCATTGAGTTTATTGGTACATTTTAGATAAACAGTACAGTTGCATTCATCATTGGGATCTTGCACCTTTACGTGACAGGTCTTGGTTCTTATTTTTTCCCTTTGTCCCTGCCCTCCCTTCACGCCCTCGTCCCCTCCCCCTTTACAAACACTTTATTTCCATTTTTTTCATTTTCTCATATTCTTTTCTTTTCCCTTATTACCTTGCCCGTACCCTTCCCACTTTCCCTACACCTTTAGCACTTTTCTTCCTATTTCACATTTTTAATTATCGCATTAGGATCTTATGAACTATTACAGTTTGTTCAAACCAAAGAAACTATCTGGTACTCATACATGTGCAACTTATGCATTTCACTTAGGAGTATATCCTCAATATGTATCCATTTTCCTATGAATGACTCCAATTTATCATTCTTTAGGTCTGAGTAATATTCCGTTTTATGGAGAAACCACAACTTCTTTATCCAATTTCCTACTGATGGGCAAATGGGCTGTTTCCAAGTTTTAGCTATTATAAACTGCCACTATAAACATAGGTGTGCATGTATCACTGTGATATGATTCTTTTAATTCTTTTGGAAAGATACCCAGCAGAGGGATGGCTGGGTCAAATGGAACCTCCAGTCCCACCTCTTTGAGGTATCTCCATATTGCTTTCCACAGTGGTTGCACCAGTCTGCACTCCAACCAACAATGGAGAAGGGTTCCTTTCTCCCCACAACCCCACCAACATTTGTTGTTGTGCGATTTCTTGTTAGCAGCCATTCTTTGTGAGGTGTGGTGGAATCTCAGTGTTGTTTTCATCTGCATTTCTCGAATGACCAGTGATGTGGAACATCTTTTCATATATTTACTTGCTGTTTTTACTTCTTTGTCTGAGAAATGTCTGTTCATTTCAGATGCCCATTTTTGAATTGGGTCTTTATATTTGGAGGGGGCTGATTGTTTTGAGTTCTTTATATATTCTAGATAGTAGGCCTTTGTCTGAGGAAAAGCTGGTGAAAATTTTTTACCACATTGTGGGCTGTCTGTTCACACTGTTAGTGGCTTCTCCTGCTGTGAAGAAGCTTTTTAATAAGAAGAGATCCCACTTGTTGATTGTGCTAGTTCATGTTCAACTGAGGTTTTGTTCATAAAAAATCTTTTCCTACACCAATGTCTTCAAGACTTCTACGTAATCTCTCTTCCAGCCAGTCCAGTGTTTCTGTTTTAATATTTAGATTTGAATCCATTTTGATTTTAGTTTAGTGTGTGGTGAGACATATAGGTGTAGTTTTAATCTTTGGCAAGGTGAAACGCAGTTTTTCCATCACCATTTATCAAAGAGGCTATTTTTCCTCCAGTGAGAGTTTTTCGATCCTTTGTTGAAAATTAGGTGACTGAGTATCTGTAGTTGTTTCTGCATCTTCTGATCTAATCTACAATACTTAAGTTTGTTTATTTGCAGTACCATTCTGGTTTTGTTTGTTTGTTTTGTTTTGTTTATCACAGTCACTTTGTAGTAGTTTCAAGTTAGGGATTGTGATATTCCCTACTTTGTTTTATTGCCTAAAATTGGGTTTCCTATACTATGTCTCTTGTTTCAAATGAATTTTTGGATTGTTTTCTCAAGGTCCATCAAGCATGCTGCTGGAATTTCAATCGGGATTGCATTGAATCTATATAACAGTTTTTGAGGTATGTCCACTTTCACTATGTTGTTTCTTCCTACCCACGAGCAAGAGATGTCTTTCCATTTTCTGATATCAACTTTGATCTCTCTTTTCAGAGTGCTATAGTTTTCAGAGTACAGGTCTTTGACTTTTTTGGTTAGGATGATTCCTACGTATTTTAAGTTTTTGGATGCTATTATGAAAGGAATCGTTTGCCCTATTTCTCTCTCAGTGAGTTTGTTGTTTGTGCACAGAAAAGCTATTGATTTTTGAGTATTGACCTTGTATTCAGCTATTTTACTGAACTTGGTTATTAAGTCTGGAAGACTTGATGGAGTTCTTGGGGTCTTCTATACAGTTTCATGTCATGTGCAAGTAGTGACAATTTAACTTCTTCATTCCTATCTTTATTACTTTTATTATTTTTTTGTTGTCTAATTGCTATGGGTAATGCTTCCAAAACTCTATTGAATAGGAGTGCTGATAATGAACATCCTTGTTTTGTTCCTGATTTTTGTGTGAAGGATTTCAGTTTTTGACCATTTAGTATGATATTGACTGTTAGATTTTCATAGATGGCTTTTATCTGGTTGAGGTAGAGAACATCTATACCAATTTTTATAGGATTTTTATCAGGAATGCTCATTGGATTTTGTTCAACACTTTTTCTGCATCTAATGAGATGATCCTATGGTTTTTATTCTTGGCTCTATTACCATCATATATTACATGTATTGATTTGCATATTTTGAACCATCCTTGCATCAGTGGGATGAGTCCCACTTAAACAGGGTATATAATCTTCTTGAAGATCTTCTGTATTTCAGGAATAAATTTGGGAGTATTGCTTCCCTTTCAATTCCATTGAAAAGCTTAAATAGTAGTTGCAATAGTTCCTCTCTAAATCTCTCATACATAGAATTCAGCAGTGAAGCCATCAGGGCCTGGGCTTTTCTTAGGTGGTAAGTTTTAAATTACATTTTCAATTTTGTTGCTTGTTATTGATTTTTTAAAACATTTTTTAGCCCTTCATTATTTAGCTTTGGTAATTCATATGTATCTAGAAATCTGTCCATTTCTTCTGTGTTTTCCACCTTATTGGAGTATTGGTTCTCAAAGTATGTATTGATAATCCTCTGGATTTCTTTGGGATCTGTTGTAGTTTCACCTTTTTCATTATGAGTTTGGTCTTTCTTTCCTTGTTTGAGTAGGTGGCTAAGGGTTTATCAATTTTGTTTACTCTTTTGAAGAACCAACTCTTTGCTTCATTGATTTTTTGTTGTTGTTCTCTTAGTTTCTATAGCATTGATTTCTGCTCTGATCATTATAATTTACTCCCTTGTAAGAGCTTTGGGCTTGTCCTTCTCTTTTTCTAGAACCTTGAGGTTAAGTATATGCTTGTTTAGTGGACCTTGCTCTGTTTTCCTAATATGTGTATTCACCACTATGAATTTTCCTCATAAGACTGCTTTCATTGTACCCTATAGAGTCCAGTACGTTGTATTTACATTGCAGTTTAACTGTACAGACTAATTTCTTCTTTAATTTCCTCTGTGATCCATTTGCTATTCAGAAGTAGGTTGTTCAGTTTCTATGTGTTTATGAAATTCTTGCAGTATCTTTTGCTCTCGATCTGAAATTTCACTTCTCGATGGTTTGATAATATACAGGATAACTTCAATTCCTTTACATATTCTATGAGTACATGGTCTGTTTTGGAGAATGACCCATGTGTAGCTAGCTGAAAAGAATGTGTATTCTGATTATCTGGGGTGGAACACTCTGTAAATATCTGTTAAGTTCATTTTTTCAACAGTATGAGTGAGTTCTAGTATTTCATTATTTATTTTGATGTAGTTGACCTATCCATTTGGGACAGTGGTGTATTGAGGTCCCCCACTAGTATTGTATTAGTGCTTATTAGAAATTTAGGTGGCATGCTACTTTTGACTAATGCCTGAGGATATGAGGTGGAGCTGAGGTGCTGATGCTATCACTGGATGACAAATGACATTTAAGCATCATGTAGTGGCAAGTATTTTAGTGGCAAATGAGGTGAGGTAATTTCACTGAACAATTGCTTTTATTGAACAATTGAGTAATCCATCACCTTTTTTAGTTCATGTATGGCCCAGCCATTGTTTTATTACCACTTCCATCTATGTCTCTTTCTTCACTATTCATTTGTCTCCGTCACTTTAGATAAGCCCAAACTAGATAACTACTTTGAAAAGAAAAAAATACACAAAGATGAAATATCAAAAAACTCCACTACTGCCAACAACAAGAAATCTGCATGTAAAAGAAAAATATCAAGTATCCTACTTAAATTATGAGTTTATTTCAACAAGTGATTCACATCCTGTAAGCTAGCTTTGTATAATGTGGTGCAACCTGCTGTTCAAAAGAGCCATGAGCCTGTGAAACCACTCTAGTGCCTAGAGATTGGTCACCTTGCAGTACAAGACAAGGTTTTGTAGTTTTTCAATTAAGAAAATTATGAACAGGAAGAACAGAAGTAATATCAAAGGTCATCATTTGATACAATGTATCTACCCAGACAGTATCATTTTTCTTAACTAATCATATTTACTAGGCTAAGAAGCTAAGAAGCCATTTATTACTCATGAAGACTTGATCCTGTCTGCTGCTAAGGAAATCTGTCACGGAGAAGCTAAAGTGGCATGAGTTCCTCTTTTGGCTACAATCATAACTGCAATAATTGATAAAACCAGCGGAAGAAATTAAGACATATTTGTCAGAGAGGATTAATAAAGAGCTGTGGTACTCACTTCAGAAGGAGGAGCCTAACAATGTTGACAACAAGGCAATGGTGCACAACTAATTGGATGCACACTGAGGCCATACTCATAAGTGAAATTAATAGGACACACGTGTAACCAGTTTCTCTGGTGTGAAAAGCTAAATGTGCAAATAAGGATCAAAATGTATAATTGATATTGTGCAATAGGAAGAAAAGGTCTAAAGGAGTAGGGGAAGTGGGAAAGGTAGGGGAACGGTTAGAAGGGAAAAGAAAAAATATGAGGAAAAGAAAAAAATGGAAACAAAGTCTTTGTTAATAGGGAAAGGTGGAGGGGGTGAAAGAAGGGCTGGGGAATGGGGAAAAATAGGAACTGAGATACTTCATGTAAAGGTACAAGATCCTAATGATGAATGTAACTGAATTGTGTGCATAAAAGGTACCAATAAACTTAAAGTAGTCAGTATTTTCTATGTTAGCAAACACTGATTATCTGACTCTCAGAGAGAGTCTATGCACTCAAGTCATCCTCAGCCTTTTTCTGGTTTGCTTATGTATGTCTAAGGTTTTCATTTGAAAACATCACAACTGTGAATCTTAGGACTCCTTTTGATAGTGAACCCTTCTGTATCGATTTATTCCTTGTAATGCATTTTGCCTTAGCTTCTCTGTTTCTGTTATTCAAAAATAATATTTTCCATTATTAAAAATGTTTTATAATAGTTATATGCCAAAGCATTTCTCTTATGACAGCAGCTTCATCAAAAGAAAAAAAAATAAATGAATGTGGCATATATAAATGTACTGGAAATGTTGGAAGAGTGTTTGCCTGCTCAACTCTAGTAATAATTCTGAGACCAACAAAATCAAATTGATTATTACCTCTTCCACTATGACATATATAGGAAATAAGAGAGAGACCATGGAAAATTGTTGACTTCAGTAACATCACACAAAAAATATAATCTATATAACAGAAAATGAAGATAATACCAGTGTAAAAGAGCTCTTGAAGTTACTGTATGCTGGCTTGCTACTTCAAGCAAAGAGGACAAGATCATCCCATGACGGTTGGCAAAAACATGCATCACATTAGCAGAAAGTGAGACTGTGCCACTTTACCTTTTATAATCTTATGAGAATATTTGGGAAATCTGTGTATTTAGAAGTAACATAATGAAGTCTATTAATCATCCATTAATTATTAATAGTGCCTGTACAATCCATGAATAAATGATTCAGAACAGCCCAGAGTACATTCCCTTCCTCACTTCCCTAATTTATAAATGTGAAGCTCATATCAAAATATTTATTCCATGTTTTGCAATACAGTCAATTAACATTCTGTAGCTAACTTAAGCATAATCTTTTTAATCATTTAAATTTCTTAAGCAACCTTGTACATCCTTTGAGATTTCTCAAAGGACCAAGAGTGAAGCTATTTCGTAAAATTTAAAAATTTTTCTGTTTTAGTGTTATATTGCTCTTATTCATACATGTGTACTTATATATTTTAAAACATTGCCTTCAAGGGAAAATACTGTTAAGTGATTTATTTGATTTAAAAAAATAATAAAATAGCCACCAAAATTTGTTGACTACCATTACTAGGTATTTGCAGTACGTAATACTTACATTCGCACATGGGATGGGTGTATGTACATAACACATTTCTGTTCCCTTTTCTCCCCTCCCTCCATTCTCTTTTATTATTCCAGCATCAGGTTCATTCATTTAATTTATAAGACCTTATAAAGTTAATTACTATCTCTACAGACTAATAGGCCAAAAAATATAAAATATGTAAGACAATTGTACTAACTCAAAATCCACTTTTAGATACATTGTCCACCCTGAATTATTTTCCTGTTATCTTTTCTTTTATTTCACCGTATAAGTAAAAAACATATACACACTTTTTCATATAAGAGAAATGCAATATTGAAGCTCATGTGCCTGAGTTACTTAACACTAGGTTTTCAAGGTTCATCTGTTTTCATACAAATGGCTCGTTTATCCTTTTTATGGCAGAGTAGTACTCCATTGTGATTAAATACAATTGTTTAATCTATTCGTCTGTAGATGGACATATGGTCTGTCTCCAAGATTCAGCTATTGTGAATTATGCTGCTACAAACATGGGTATGAATACATATCACTATGGTATCACATCTTTAACTCTTTTGGAAAGATACTTTGAAGGAAAAGAGTGGGTCAAATGGAATTTCTAC